CTAAAACCCATCTTTTTTTGTCTTTTCATAGCTTATGATTTGTCAAATTTGTAGTTTTCTTTATTGGTTTTGAGTGTTTATCTTAAAACTCAAGTTTTTTGGTTCTTTGCTCTTGGTGTAAATCGAACACATTTGTGGAGTCGTTTAAATATGTTGAATTTTAAATATATTGGATTTTAAATTGTCATACAAATTTTTCATCGATAGTCTGTAATTAAAACCATAACTCTTATTTACTCAAATTGTATTAATATGTAAAGATCAAGTGTAACCTATATCATCGTTAAATCTTGTCTTATAAAACCAGTGAAACTTCAAAATCGTTAAAATTCATGGCTCCCGCCGCATTGCGCGGGTACACAACTAGTTATATATTAACATTCAAAAAATAATAATTTTAGATTATAAACATAGTTAAGAAATATGAAATTATGAATTAACGTTTTAGTCGAAATAAATAATATACACATATATATGTATATATACATAACGGGTACGGGGGCGGGAGTACGATACCCATCCCCGGTTTGAGACAAACGAGGATTCCCGTCCCCATCCCCGATCGGGGCGGGTGGACCGGGTTCCCTGACGGATCGGAACCCATTTCCATGCCTACTCATGAGATCCAAAAATGTTATAATTAACAAACCACATGGACCAAATTTGTAATCTATAATTAATAAAATAATAAAAAAAATGAACGATCAATGTTGATTCATATTGTTTCTAATTTATAGACAAGTTATAGTTGATTTAGGGGTTGTTTGTTTACCTCTTAATAGTTTCATTAAGAACAACATCTGAATCATTAAGAGGTGAATCTTGCTTGGCAAAAAAATCTGCCTCTTAATGGTTCTAAAATCCTCTGAATGATTTTGTATCCTAGATCTCACTTAACTATTAAGAGCCCTAATTTCATTGTACACAATTATCAAACAATTATATTTTATTTTGTACTATGTCATGAAAGTTTTTTAATCATTCTGACAACTTAATCATTTTACAACAAACCATTCAACAATTGTCCCCTTATACTCAGTTGTATATACATACCATATTATATATCTACTTGAGTCATATACTCATATTATTATTAGCATTTCATTATGTAGTTGAAACGTAAGAAAAATGTGGTTCAAAACCTTAAAATTAAGACCAAATTAAATCTAAACTAGAAGCGTACTCGCGCAATGCAGCGAGATGCATCATGATTTTAATATTTCATTTTCTTCTTTATCTCAGTCGATATTATAATATGGCTTTATGTGATTTTGAGAAAGTGATAATGTTTTTATTTTTGAATAAAATATATGTTTGAAGATATCATAAAAATTTGACAAAAATATATCGATATT